ATGGGTTCCAGTTCCGCTCGAGGAGGTAGGTGATGACCGCCGACATGGGGCCACGAATGTGGCGCGCCCGCCTGGCCTCGGAAAGACGGCGTAGATGTTGGACAACTGAACTCCAGTCGCGGTGCACCCCGTCACGACTGGATGAATTGCCGAACCATTGTCAATGCCAACACTCAACATATCCACGTGGATACTTGAAGCCTGGGTCATGGTCAGGCTCCTCGATTGCTAGGAGGGGCGTCTTGCAAAGACTGCGGCTACCATTGCCCACTACTTGGACCAAGCTGCGACGTAGGTACTCCAGCTGGCTGCCGAACGTGCCGTGGATATGGTGGCCGTAGTTGCCGGCGGCAACTGCACTGGTGAGCCTGCTGGTGATGCTGCAGGCCTTCGAGGCCCGATAAAAAAAACGAAGGACTGTGTAACTCTGCATGCTTGACGACCCGCTTCCTTCGAGTCTGGCGTGCATGTCGACGGCCACCTCCTTGGTCGATGCCTGGCATCGCCATCGACTGAGCAGGCGATGACCGACATGGGGGAAGCACCCGACTTCCACTTGGCCAACCCATCACGCGTGTCAGCCAGGCACGCGGGGCGAAGGATGAGGAGGGGGAGGAGGAGGAGGAGGAGGAGGAGGAGGAGAGACTTAGCAGGTAGAATGAGGCAGCGGAGGAAGAGTAGGATGATGGCGAGCAACAGGAATGTACAGTTGACGGAGCGTGTGTCCACTTCCCCTCAATTTCTGGTGGACCCTGAGTCGGGATGATGATGATGACGACGGATGATGATGATAAGGATGATGAGGATGATTATGATGCTGATGACGATGATGACGATGATAATGATGATGATGCTGATGATGATGATGATGATGACGTTGATGCTGCTGATGATGTTGGTGATGGTGATGCTTATGATACTGGTACTGACGATGATGATGACGATGATGCTGACGATGATGAATATGATGATGATGATGCTGATGATGATGGTGCTGATGAGGATGATGACGATGATGGTGATTCTGGTGATGGCGTTGTTGCGTATGGTGCTGCTGATGAGGATGTTGGTGATGATGTTTATGATGCTGATACTGACGATGATTACGACGATGCTGCTTAGATGATGCTGATGATGATAATGATGATAATGATGATGCTGATGATGATGCTGCTGCTGCTGATCATGATGATGATGTTGATGATGCTGATGATGGTGATGACGATAATGCTGATGATGGCGCTGCTGACGACGACGATGATGATGATGATGTTGATGATGATGATGATGATGGTTATGATGACGATGATGGTGATGATGATGATGATGATGATGATGATGATGATGATGATGATGAGTATGAGGATGAGGATGAGGATGAGGATGATGAGGGTGATGGCGATGGTGATGATGATGGCGATGGTGATGGTGATGATGCGGATGATGCTGACGAAGAGGAGCAGCAGGATGAGCAGGAGGAGGAGGAGGCGGGCGAGGAGGAGGAGGAGGAGGAGGAGGAGGAGGAGGAGGAGGAGGAGGGGGAGGGGGAGGAGGAAGCGGAGGAGGAGGAGGAGGAGGAGGAGGAGGAGGAGGAGGAGGAGGAGGGGGAACGATGATGAGGAGGATCAAGGGGAACACACATATGTAATACATACATAATATGAAGAGGAAGTGGGGAGGATGCCGAGGAAGAGGGGGAGGATAATATTCAGTAGGAGGAGGAGCAGGAGGAGGAGGAGGAGGAGGAGGAGGACGAGGATGGGGGAGGAACACTGCGACGGCGACGGCGACGGCGGCAGAGACGGCGGCGGCGACGACGACGACGACGATGAAGACGACGATGATGACGACGACGATGACGACGACGGCGTTGACGACGACGACGACGACGACGACGACCACGACGACGACCACGAGCCAACCATGACGGCCTTCGCGGACATTTCGCGCTGAACGCCTCGTTGGGACCTCTGGGGCCCTCCTGAGGGCGTCGGGGACCGCTTTGGGGGGCCTTCCTAGCGGTCACGGTCAAGGCATCGCAGGGGGGTCCCTTACGGAGCCTCGCCCCGTCGGAGCCACGCGTGATTGGCGCGTGGAGCCGTGCTGGGGCGCCCTGGAGCCGTGCTGGATCATTGGTTGCTTTTGAGGCCGTCTTGCCCCCCCCCCCCCGACCACAGAGGAGGAGACGGGGTAGGAGGGAAGAGGAGGAGAGCAGACGGGGAAGAGGTCAGCGCGTTCGATGTTTTGTTGACTCCGCCTGCCCCCACTTGTCGCGGGTGCAAGGGCGGTCCCTCTTGGGGCTCTGGTGGGGCCGTCTGGAGCCGTCCGTCAGGAACACATCGACAGCGAACAGACAACTACGTCGCAAAACAGTGAACGCACAGGTGGTGTTCCAACAGTTATGGTCTCTCCTGGGTAAGCTTGGGAGGCCCCGAGATCACTTGGAGCCGCCTTGGGGCCTCTTTGATGCATTCTGGCGGCCATGTTGAGTCATCATTGGCTATCTTTGTGCCATCCATCTTGGAGGCCATCTTAGGACATCTGGGGACAGATGAGGCCACGTTAAAGCCATCTTGGCTCCGCAGCCAGCAATGATGCCCCCCCTGGAGGCCAATATATGGCCAATAGATGGCTCCACGATTTTGTTTATGATCTAAGGTTGGTTCGGAATTAGCGCTGCCCCTCTGGAGCTCGAGAGCTCGTCTCCTGGACCTCTCTTGGAACGCTCTTGAGGCGCCCTGGGGCGTTCCTGAGGCCGTGCTGGAGCGTTTATGGCCCCTCTCGGGATTGTCTTCAGGCCTAAGAGACCCATCGCGAGCTAAAAGGTGAGAAGGCACGGCATACTGAATCACCTTAGGTTGTTTGAAGAGTGATGTCTCCTCGAGGTTCTACTTGGGGCGGTCTTCGGGCTTCTTAGAGGCATGTTGGAGGCTAGTTTGAGACGCCTTTGTATCTGTTGTGGCATCGTGAAGGCAATCTTGGACTGTCTGGGGCCATCTTGAATCCATCTAACCCCTCATGGGGGGGCATCCACCGACCGAGAGAGGACATCCCTTACAAAGGCAGCATGGTCTTCCCCTCAGTGCTCGGGTTCGCTTTTGAGGCTTGAGCGGTGAGTCATTGGACTTGGCATATCGTCCAGTCTAGTGAGGGCGAGAGGAGAGGGCCTACGTGCTGCTCCTACAGTCGGGCCGCTGAAAGAATGAACGCTAAATAAGGAACGAAGCCCCTTCCTGGCCCCGTAAGCGCCTCCGTGCCCCAGGAGGGCAAGAGGAACAACACTGGAGGAACCAAAGGAACATCGAGCCCCTTCCGAACCCAAACTGTTCCATATTTCAGCGTCTTGACTGTAGCCCCAGGCGGTGATGCGGGGGCAGGCCTGCGGACCGCAGCCCGGAGGCTGGGCCCTGTCTGCTCCTCGGGAGGTCCTGCGCTGCCCTCGCACGCCAGGGGGGCTTTCTGTTTTCACGGGCGGCCTCTTCGGGCGGGTCTGCCAGAGTCTTTGGTGTCGCTCGGACGTGTGCACTCTTTCTCGGCGGGGATTATTAAGGAGCATCCTGGACCATCCTGAGAAAAGATAACCACGCACGAAGCCGACAAAAGCACAGAGAATGGACGTCCGAGCGATGGCCAGAGTCACGGGTGGCGTGTGCGGCGCATGGGGCCGGAGGCCGAACGTGTATCGACAGCTCTGAAGTCATAGGGCTCCTCGCCTGTAATCCCACATGCGCCATGGCTCCCGTTCGCAAGGTTGCACGAGTCAACGGTTTGGGGGCCCTCGCGCTGGCATCGCCACTGATGCACCATAGCGCACATGGAGCCAAGCAGCAAACGCTGCCTGACTCTGCGGACAAATCCCCCACATCCTCATCCCCCCCCCCTCACCATCCACCAAACCGCCCCAACCCAACCCGAAGGCCCCCATTTGGCGTCCATTCCCAGTGGGGGGGCGGCCGGGGAACATGGACAAAACACATAATTATGAAGCCCGTACCCTCCCCCCCAACCCGAAATTCGGGTCTTCGGGTTGGGTTGGGGTGGTCTACGAAGCCCGTACACCCCCCCAACCCTAAATTCGGGTCTTCGGGTTGGGATGAGATGGTCTGGTAATTAGGTAGCCCCCCCTGCTCTACAGTTCTCCAGCTGCGGCGCGTCGCATATGTCCGCCACCGTGGGTTGGGGCCATAAGCTGCGCGGGCAGGGGCTGCACCTGCTTCGCCACCGCATAAGCTCCGCGTTATTCTTGAACGACTTTGTTCTAAGACCCAAGCTTGCGTGTAAAGAACAATCGAAGAACAGAAAGCTGCATGAACATCCGCGCTGGGCCCGCCTGGATCCGCGCTGGGCCCCCCTGGTGGCGCCTGCGGCGACGCCCCTGGCGCGCTCCGCGCGGCAGGGAGGGGGGTCCAGCGCAGATCCAAGAAATCCCCGAGGACCGCGGCAAGTTTATGTGTATGCCGTTTTTTTTTCTATACAGTCGAATCGTCTGTTGTCAGTCTCATCGCCCCCCGAAAACTTTTGGAGGGCATTCTGCACTCTTGTCTCCTGCGGTTCTAGTTCTTGCTTCACGGGGGGATGCCCCCGAACTTATCGGGAGCGCGCGTATTGAACATCGCGATCGTTTGGGAGAATGCTTGAGCCCCGGCGGTGGCCGCCGTCTTGCTCATCTTCGTGCGTTCCCTATCGAAGCCTCCGCCTATTGTTGCCCTGGTCGGGCGAAGCCCCTGCAAGACGGAGTGCTTGCTGCTCGGTCTCCAGGAAAAGCCTCCTTCGGTTGTGGCGCTCCCTGTCAGCCGTGCCCCTGCCACTTCGGTAGCCGTTTTGCTTCAAGGATGCAAGGGGCAGCAGCTCCCTCGAGCAGCTGTAGCCTCTTCCCTCGGTGAGGACAGCTCGAGATCGTGGGCCAGCTCCACCTACCGCTGCTGGCTCGATGGCAGGGGCACGCGTGGTCACTGTGGCGAAGAAGAAAAACAAGATCTCGGGAAATCTGCACGGCGAGCATGCCCAGGCGACGGGCCGCAGCGAGTGGTGGAGCGAGCAGGAGGCTCCCCTCCTGGCCACCCCCATGCGTTCGGCGGTGTCTGGTGCGACGGGCGGCTCCGCACTGGAGCCTCAGGAGAGGATCTGCCAGCTGCTGCAGGACTGGAGCCAGAGGCAGCGGACCATGCATGCGGAGCGCAGGGGAGGAAAAGATGCCGATACCGCTACCTGCTCCTCGTTTTTGCCTTGCTGGGCCTCCTTTGAGGCCCTCGTCGCAACCGCTGAATTCGCGTCGAAATCCTGTTCAGAACGCACTCCGCCAGAAACATCTATACACAGACACCCTCCAATGGACTCTTCCTGGGCCTCCCGAAGTTCCAGGGAGTGCATGCGAAGTTCGTCGGAGTGTGTGTGTGCGTGCGTGCGTGCGTGCGTGCGTGTGTGTGTGTGTGTGTGTGTGTGTGTGTGTGTGCGTGTGTGTGTGTGTGTTTGTGTGTATATCTAAATCTCCCAGTATACTTAGATCTAGATTTGCACGTTCGTGGCGTACGCACCCAGGAGAGTTCGGGGAGCAGCAATACGGGTATTTCCCCCCCCAGGAGCAGCAGCAGGTGATAGATCGCCTTCTATCCGCTCAGCAGGAGGCCTTGCAGGAGATGCGCCGCCTGGAGCCTCGCGAGGGCACACCTCGTTGTTTCGCCGCGGCCTCCACGCCCAAGGAAGGGCCCGCCAGCACCGCAGGCGAAGGGAGCGAGGCCCCCGTGGTGGATGCCACCCCTCAGCAGGGCGCGGACGCCGTCGCGAGGAAGGTGGCGAGCCAAATGGCTCGGTACAGCCGCCAAGATGAGATGCTGGACTTCTGGAAGCGCACCCACGGGATGCACACAGTGGACAAGTGGGTCATGGACTACAAGGATCATCCCGGCGGATGGGGCGCGCTGCTCATGATCCACGGGGTGGGGGAGATGACCGGTCGGCTGCGGAGCAAGGTGGAGAACTACGCTATCTACTCGGCGCTATTCCTCTCGATGTCTATCGCGCTGATTGCCGACCCTGCCGACTTCATATACAAGGACTGTGAGGACTTGCTCTGCAAGGTTGAGAAGCGCATATTCGTTTACGGTCTGGCCATCGGCACCGCCCTCCACATGCTCTGCATCATGCTGGGCATGGCGTTTGTTAATGCCCTCAACGAAACAGCGCGGGACGCCGACGTGTACCGCTTGCTTCAGAGAGGGCAGGGCTTCCATGCAACCAAAAAGTGTTCGCTCTGCTTCATGATTGGCTGCGCCGCTGATTTCCTAGCGGTTGGCGTGACGGCCATCGAGTATTTGGACCCCGTTGAACCGTTGGCCTTGTACGCCGTGCTGCTGATGGTGGTCGGTGTGATCTACTTCCCCACCGCGAACCGCCTGTACGAGAGCAGCAGCATCGTCTCCTACTGGCGCGAGGAGCTCGGAGGCAAGCCAGACCCAAACGACCCGTATGACCTCCAGGTGCCCGCAGGCTGTGTCCACGAGCGGGCCACCATGAACGACCTCGTTTTCCGGAGCACTCTGCACGAGGCTCCCATGTGAGGGGGGCTCTCCTCGGCCGCTCACGGTGCCCCTCCGCGTCGTACGCGCAGGGCGGCGGCGGGAGCAGCACACTTTGGATGCTCCGCTCCCACGCTCACCCATTCCTCAGGTGCTCGCTTTGGGGAACCGTTCTCTTGGACCCGCCTGACGGCCAGTATCCTGGCATCGCTCGAACGTGTGCATTTTTTCTCGGCGAGGACCCTGGAGGAGCATCCTGGACCATCGAGGAAAAAAACGCGCACGAAACCGAAAAATAAACGGGAAATGGACGTCCGAGCGACGCAAGGTATGGTCCTTGTTCGACTCCAGCTCGACCAACACCCGTCTCCACTTCGACCGACAGTCCACGGACGGCCGACGCAGCGTCGACCAACGCTCCCCTCCTCGGGAGATGCAGCGCACCCCCACCGGACCTCCGCCCGCCCAGCCCCGTCCCAGATGAGATGTCTCCCCCCCCCGACCGGCGCCCGCATCGACCAGGGTTAAGTCGGGCCTGTCCCCCTACAGGGGGAGTTTCGACGAAAAACCAAACATGCCCCAAGAATATTAAAAATAGTACAAAAATAGTCTGGGGACTACTTTTTGAGTAGTTTCTGACCTTTTTGGGGCATTTTGAGGATATTTTGTTTTCCATCGAAAATCCCCCTGTAGGGGGACACGCCCGACATAAGATTATTTAGGAGCATGCTGGATCATCTTGCGAAAAAGCCACGCACGAAACCGAAACAAAGAGCGCAGGGAGTGGACGTCCGAGCGCTGGCCAGGCGCGCGGGCGGCTGAGGTCGAGCGCAGCCGGTGGCCCCGCACGGGCCACGGGTCGAACGCGGTCTGTGCCGGTGAGGCTTCGGGCTGCGCACAGGGAGCCGCCCCCCCCTCGTGTGGTCCCAGCCGGAAGTCTCGGGCACGTCCCTCCACAGGAGGAATATCAAAAAAATAGTCGAAAATGGGTCAGGGACGATTTTTCCACTATTCTGAATTATTTTAGGTCATTTTTCGACTGACCCTTTTCCTCCCAAATCCGCCTGCACGAGGACATGTCCGACCCAATCCCAGCTGGCTTCAACAGGCCCCCCGTATCGGGCGGCCTCAACACGCCGCTTCCGGCGGCGCTCCACGGGGCGCCTCCGCTCTCCGGGGGGTTGGGGTGCTTCGACCCTCCTGGGCTACCCGGGGGACCTGTTGAGGCCAGCCGGGGCCAGCTGGGTGGGCTGTCCGTGCGCAGCCCGAGGCCTTACCAGTCTGCGCCATCGGAGAGCCGGGGCCGTTCAATGCTGAACGGCACACGTGGGTCCAGGAGCCGGCACCGACGCTATCGCGGCGTGCCCCCGCCGCCCCCTTCGCTCCAGTCTTCCATTCGTCGCCGATCGGGGCCTGATGGCCCAGCCCCCCCCCCCCCCCAGGAGCGAGCACACTCGCTCCTGGGGGGCCTATCGCCGACCTGTCGGCGACGCCTCGCCGACTCCAGGTTGATGTTGTTCCCGCCCCTGAGCCGGTCACCCGACGATGACGATGATGACGATGACGATGACGATGATGACGATGATGATGATGATGATGATGATGATGATGATGATGCTGTTGTTGCTGATGATGATGATGATGATGATGATGATGATGATGATGATGATGATGATGATTGTAATAATAATGACGACGATGATGATGATGATGATGATGATGATGATGACGCTGATGATGACGCTGATGATGATGATGTTGCTGGTGCTGATGCTGATGCTGATGATGCTGCTGATGATGCTGCTGATGATGCTGATGCTGATGCTGCTGATGATGATGATGATGATACTGATGAGGATGATGATGACAATAATGATAAGGATTATGATGATGCGGATCATGATGACGATGATGATGATGATGATGATGATGATGATGATGATGATGATGATGATGATGATGATGATGATGACCTAACCTCCCCCTCACTCCCGCTTCTGGAGTTCCCCATGCGAACCCTACCCCTACCCCCCACGATTTCTGAGGGGGAGGGTTCGCATGTCGCCCCCTAGCTTTCCCCTTGGCCCCGCCATCCTCCTGGGCGCTCCACGTGGCAACACCAGCGAGGGGGCACCGGCGAAGTCGGGCCCCTGCCGGCGCCGCTCCCGCCCTCGGGCTCCGCGCCAATGACCGCGCAGGGGCACCAGAAAAGGAAGGGCGGCGCGGGAGGGGGAGGGGACACTCGGGGGCAACGATAGGGGGGGATAGGCATAGGGGGGGATGCATCGACCCCCAATCGCCCATTGATCGCCGATAGGGGCCCGATAGCCCCAACCCGCCCAGGAAGGTGCGGACTCACCATCGTGGGGCTATCGCCGATCTATCGGCGATGTATCGCTGATTCCAGGTCGATGCATCCCCCCATGTGCCAATCCCCTCCAATCGTTGCCCCTCAGACACAGTCACGACGGGAGGTGTTCAGTGGTTTTCGGCATCTGGGGGCCCTGACCGGGCCCTGGGACCTTAAAAACGCGACTCGGTATGAGAAGCCGCTCCCCAGGAAGGGGTCCTCCTGGATGGGGTCCGGGGGCAGAAGATCGCGCCGCATCGCCGATGCATCGACGATGCAGCTCGATATGGAGCCCGCGTCTCCCTACGCCGACATCACCGATGCATCGCCGACGCATCGCCGATGCATCGCCGGTACATCGGCGATGCATTGGCGATGCGGCGCGATGCTTCGACCCCATCTCCTCGGACCCCCTATAAGAGCCCTCTGGGTCCAAGCCTCTGAAGCCACGTCGTGAACAATCACGGCGTCGATTGTTTGGCAAGGGGGGAGCGCGGGCAAGGGAGCGGGGTAAACTCGGGGCCCCCCAAGCGGTGCGGTAACCACACCATGTAGTGAGTCAGTGGGGATTCGGGGTCACCACACGGTTTTGGGACTCGGGTCGCTCTCCGAGGGCGGCTCGGGCGAATGAGGCCTCGAGAGTCGCCAAACCGTACGGCCACGGACCGTACGGTGAGGTCGATTGGGTTTCCGAGGTCACCGCACGTTCCGTCACCACACCGCCTTGGGACCCCAAGTTGTTCAGTTTCCTAAGACCACGGCGCCCGCGACGCCACGGTGACCACAGCCCATGGGCGCCGTGGCCTCTTCGGCCCGTGGGCCCCCAGAGCTCTTGCCCCGAGGGAGGCCGAAAAGGGCCCAGAGGCGGGGAGGTGATCGGAGGGGCGCAGCGGAGCCGCCGCCTTCGGTCGCGGAGGGGGCGCGAGATCGGAGCAGGAGCGCCGGTGGCTCGTCGATACCCTCGACGCGACACGGGCGCCAGGGCAGAGCCGAAGGCCAGGAAGCTGCATCAAAGCACGAGCTTCCCCTCTTGGCCTCCGAGGACTTCGTGGGCCGGCCCGCGCCGGCACCCTCCGGCGCCGCCGCCCCAGGCGAGCTCCGCGCGCCAAGGAGGCGCGCTCGTACGCCGTTTTTAGATCTCGCGCCCTCTGGGGGCCCACGGGCCGAAGAGGGCGCGCGTGAGGGGGGCTCCGGCGGGGGGGGCTCCAGCGGGGGGTGGGCTCCAGCGGGCTCCAGCTCGTGCGCGAGCGCCGATCCCAGGAAGCCACGCGCGTGTGCCGTTTTTTACTTTTAAGTGGGGCATGTCCCTCTACTGGAGGAAAGTTCAAAAATTGTCAAAAACATAGTCAGGGGACGCTATTTCTATAATTTGTGGTTTTCTGGGGACTACTCCAAACTTTTCCTCCAAGAGCCTCCTGTACGAGGACATGCCCGACCTCATTTTCATTCTACAGCCCAGGGTCGAAGTCCTCAGGGGGGTACGGTACGCACATCAAGTCAGAAGCCTGGCTTGCCAGCCGATGTGTTGGATCGGCGCTGGACCCCCTCTCTTGCGCGCGGGGCGCGCTGGGAGCGGCGCTGGAGGCGCCGCCAGGGGGCTCCGGCGCCGGTCCGAAAAATCTGCGTGGCCCTCCGACAGTTTTTGCTGATGCTTGTGCCACGAGCTGTTCCTCGCCCTCGCTCGCCCTCGCTCGCCCCCGACAGCTTTGGTTTCAGTCGACCCACACAGTAAGGATGCTCGACTTTTCAACCGACGGAGGCATCTACACACCACCACCGTGCCAGGCCATCCTGGGCCCTAGGATGGTGTATAGACCCTCCTGGCCTCGGCCAGGAGGTCCTATACACCATGCCAGGGCGTGTATAGATGCCTTTTTCCAGTGTTTTCCTCCTCCTCCTCCTCCTCCTCCTCCTCCGGTCGGTCCTCTTCGAATCGAAGTCTACCTCGCCTCCTCCTCCTCCCTCCTCTGCTCCTCCTCCTCCTCCTCCTCCTCCTCCCTCCTCCTCCTCCTCCTCCTCCTCCTCCTCCTCCTCCTCCTCCTCCCCCACCACATCCCTGCCCTTAGGCCCATTCTTGGCCGCTTTCGCTGGCCGCGCCCCGCTCGCTCGCCCCTGACAGTCTTGGTGAGTCGTCTGTGATGTGCTCTGCACCTCGATCTTCTGGCCCTCGCGCGCCCTCGCCCTGCCGATCCGTCGAAAAGTGCTCAGATGCCACGGCTCGTGGCAGAAGAGGGAGGAGGAGGAGGAGGAGGAGGAGGAGGAGTAGGAGGAGGATGAGGAGGAGGAGGAGGAGGAGGTGGAGGGAGGAGGAGGAGGAGGAGGAGGAGGAGGAGAGGAGAAGGAGGAGGAGGAGGCGAGGAGGAGGAGGAGGAGGAGGAGGAGGAGGAGGCGGAGGAGGAGGAGGAGGAGCAGGAGGAGGAGGAGGAGGAGGAGAGGAGGAGGAAGAGGAGGAGGAGGAGGAGGAGGACCAGTTTGCCCTGCGACCTCTTGATTTGTGGCACCCGTGGGTCTTGCGCGAGGAGGCACTTGCTCGCCCCCGCGCGTCCCCGAGAGGTGTCCAGCGAGGCGCGGATCTGGACCATCACGGAGAAGGCGCCGACGCGCCGGCCTGCGGTCCGGCTGCGGGGCCCCGCGCCCTTGCCACTGGCCAGAGCCGGCAACAAAAGCGGCAACGCATAAGTCACGACATAAG